AGAAAGGAACCAGAGTGAAGGACAGCTACCTGTGGCGCTGCCAGGTGGCCTCGGTCACGTGGGTTCGTGACGTAAGGGGTAAAAGAATCTTGAGGTCATGGGGCTTCCCCTGACCTGGATTCTATCTCTCAGTCACCGGCAGAATCGCTGATTAATGCCTACAGTTCAAAATAGTCATTTTGACTGACCGGAGTCTATGGTGGGTATGAACTATGTGAATAGGCGGGTTTGGAGAACCCTTGCCTAAATTCATTATACATCATGTCATAGATACAGATATATTGGTTTGACGATCCTGTTAAAAATGGCCAAATGGTGGCCTTTTTTGTGTTAAAAAGTCATCAAATATCAAGCATTTCTGGCATTTATGGATGGATTTTGTTCAAATTTGGTACATATATTAGACATTACAGGTTCCTGATGCATATCTTTTATTTTTCAGATCGGATTCAAAATGGCTGTCTGGCGGCCATTTTGTTTTAATGAATGGGCTTCTAGACCCATATCTCCGACTTGTTTTGACTGATTATGTTAAAATTTTAAATATTCCTTATGCATCATTACATAGATGGACAGATATATTGGTTTGACGATCCTATTTAAAATGGCCGAATGGTGGTTATTTTTGTGCTAAAAAATCATCAAATATCAAACATTTATGGATGGATTTCTTTCAAACTTGTTTTTAATGTCTAACAGCCTTTTTTTGCAGTCGCGCTACTTTGTCTGCCTCAGGTGCCCAGCTAGCCACTTGCAGAGAGACTAGGGAAACTTACCTTAAAAAAAAAATTTATATACATGTATTAGAATAATATTTTAACATGGGATATGGGCTGGTACAACCCATCACTGCCACGGTTTTCCAGTCTATGTTCCTGTGTATGATACAAAATTTACAATTACGTGTACATTCAAACTTCACATACATCATACATTATATTGTACATACATGTATGCACATCAATTTGTTTCCAGATCTGATTTAAGATGGTCGAATGGCGGCCATTTTTGTACTGAAAAATCATCAAAATCAAGCATTTCTCGGCTGTTTACAGATGGTTTTGTTCAAACTTGGTACATACATTGGACATTATGGGTCCTTGATGCACTACATTTTCAAATTGTATATATTCATTAAACATCGTGTCATAAATGTACAGATTTATTGGTTTGATGATTAGATTCAAAATGGCAGACTGGTAGTCAGTTTGTTTTAATTAATGATGTTCTTCTAGTAGAGCAAATATGGTATTTACTTCACCTGGGAGATGCCATTATAGGGCTGAATTTTTCAGAAGGGGAAGGGGGTGGTTGCAAAGACTCTCATTGTATTTTCAAATAAACACAATATAAGTGAATATACATTTTCATATTACTTACTGGTTCATTGAATTTTATTTATGTCAACTGTCAAATTCAGTTAATTATTTTAAAGAACATTCTAAACAAAGCGATATCTATTTTCCATACTTTCATACACTATACGTATTAAACAAGTATTTTTATTAATGCATTGTACGCGTTTCAATCTGTAGGGAAAAGAAATGGGTGACAGTTGGTGATTCTTCATTGCGGATTTACAAATGGGTGCCTGTTCCAGAAGATAAAAAAAAAAATGTAAAAAATGATAAAGAAATTCAGTCTCCAAGTAATCAGGCTGGTGAACAGTCGGAGAATGACAAAACTCAGGGTAAATATTATACTATGAAATCCTTTATTTTCAGCTGGAATTATTTTTCTCTGAAAAGACTATTTGGGTGTTTTGTATGGATTTTATTTTTACTGATTTGTGACAAGTTGAATGTAAAATATAGGAAAAAAGTATAGTCGCTGGATTTTATTTTCACTAAATCATTTTATATCAAGGAAATAAAAAAACATGGTGCTTGATTTGATTTCTGATTGCATATAAATTATTCTAACAATAATCTTGTATCATAAGTGTTTTCCACAAGGGATTTTAGGTGGACAGCCCACCCATCAAGTTTTACGGTCGCCTAGTTACTCTCAACACCTGCCCACCAACATACATCCAGCTGCAATTATTTGTAAAAAGCTTGCTATGCTGTCGACTTTGTCTCTTCGATTTGTTCATTCTGATGATATCTTCAATTTTCTAATTTTGATAAATATTTTTGTAATTTTTGGTAAAAAGTGATATTTTCGACTTCTTGTTAAAAACTGCACGTCTGATTGCTTTGATATCACATATATAGGTACTAAATGTGAACCTCTCAGATTTGTTCATTTCGTGATGATATCTTCAATTATCTAATTTTGGTGAAAAGTGATATTTTCGAATTCTTGTTGAAAAAACAGCAAGTTCGATTGCTTTTATACTATACATATTTTTCATTTTCTAATGATATCTTCAGTTCTTTAATTGAAATGTGCATTGCTATCAGTGGAGCTATCTCAGCCGATAGGCTGCTTGTTATTGTTTCAAGAGTCCAGATATAAACAATGACCACTGAAAGTCTGCAAGCAGCTATCAAGTGTATTCATGTCAATGTGTCAATTATCTGAATTCATTGTTGCCAGTTATCGATCACAATTCGCAACTACAGTACTGTAAAATATGTATTAGAAGCTGGGGCTTCTATTAAAATGGTACAATGCAGCAGGGGGGGTGCGGCTTCTATTAGAGCATCTACGCATATGAGAAATGGCGAATTTTGGGATCTCAATTCATAATTCAAAAATAAAAATTCTAGCCGTATTTACAACATTCACTCGATTTTCATCGTGAAACAGCATGGAGAAAGTTATCTTTAGTTCTTTTCTACATTTTAACTCAACTATGTTTTATACTTCCTCAAAAAAGTGTTTCATGAACATGAAATATTTTGAGAACATGTATAAATAGATTTTAAACCTTGCATTTTGTAAATATTGATATTAACCAATCTAGGTGATTGACCATCGTTGTGTGTCCATCAACAATTACATTTCCATCTTCCTGAAAACTATCAGCTCAATATCTTTGATACTTTGGATGGACTGTATATTATATTAGTTTCTTCTGTGCATTAGGGGAACACTCAAAGCTCTGCTGAAACGGGACTATTTTCATTGTCGGGTTACTTGTTTACTACACAATTCTGCTTATATCTCAAATTCACACTGTCATTTATGATTTAGGTCCACACTGTGATTTTCTCATTAAATTAAATGTTTGTATTGCAGAAGGTAAGCAATCTAATGCAGATTCTCCGTCTCAAGGCCAACATAAAGATTTCTCATCAATATTAACAAATGAAGACTCAAGACTAAGTAAGACAATTCATTTTACTTTGTTGGTTCTGGCTAAATAACTTTTCTGAGCCAACAATTTGAACATGCAAACAGAAAAGTGACAAATAAGTTGTGAATTTTAGGAGTTCACCAAATATGGAAGAAGGAGAATCATTCTTACAGGAATAAGTGAATAGGAGTTTCACTGTTGAAAATGATGAGGGAAGTAATACAATATTGTGAATATACATTTAGTATTAGACTCGCACACAGTCTCTTTATTTATAGTGTATTTTTTAGTGTTTTTTTTTCAATAAAATACAGTATCTTCGAAGTGTGTAAATGACAAAAATAAACACGACACTTGTGACCCTTGTAAATGCTCTGTAGCGAAACCTGTGATGATTGTCACTGATCTGGGTTCAGTACGTGATGCAATGATTGACAGCTTCATAGCATTCCACTAATCAGCATAAACTCATCAAAATTAGAATTAGATTAATCTTGCAGGAAACCATGTAGAAACTGAAATTTTGCAAGCTTTCACTTTTTTCTTTGAGATTTGTTTATGAAGACATTGCAAGCTTACGTTGCATTGAGAATATCACGAGAGGTCATGATGCGTACACTTGTTTTTTGTAGCAATTCACTGCCATCTTAAATAAATGTAAACTTGATACATGTATATATGCATGCTTCTTACATAAAATCCAGTGAAGTCATCTAGTGTGACGGTAATGATTTTCAGCAAGGTCGTGTTGACAAACATGGCAAACTGTTTGTATTCTGGGGAGAACACTGGGTTTTGTTGATTTTTTTTTTTTAAATGACACCCAAATAATAAGTTTGGCAATTTTTTTATTTTTATAGTCAAGTTGTTTTTAATTAGTCCCAGTTTCAGGCATAGCCTGAAAGGCGGACTATTAATTCCTATTTAAATTTTCTGTCTGTGATGTCTCTAACATTTTCTCAGAAATTCTGCAGCAGATATTAATGAAACTTGGCAGGTTGATGAACAAATCTCTGCCGATTATGCAAGTAATTTTTTTTTCCCAGATCTGAAAATCCTAAGTGTGTCTTTTTCATGATTTTCATCCAAAACTATCTCTCCAGACTGCACTGGAGAGAACAACTGAGCATGCTCAGAATAAATAATTAGCTTAGATTGTAATGCTAGGGTTTTTAGTGATGTCATGAGCTGGTCATGACCTTGATCTGAATCAGTGACAGATGGGTTGTACCATTACCAATCTCAGGAGAAAATGTAGAGGGGTGTCAGGGTTACATTTTGATGGGAATTAGAGTGGTGATACTGAAACAAACCCAATATACAAAGACCTGAGTTAACCAAGCAGTCAAGTTATTAAAAGTACATCTAGGTTTACTCGGATTTATGAATGCAGTTTCTTGAGCATGTATGAGACATAGTTTGGTTGCACTTTTGTACTCTGGGATTTTGGACATGGGTCAATGGAAGTTTTCAGTTATCAGATTAAGGGAAATCACTTTATGATTAGTTGCACCCACATAAAGTACATATTAATTACATAAATGTTTGCAGATGTTCCATGTATTATTTTAACATGAATATTTTATAATTAAATAACAGCGACTGTGACATTCATGTCTTGTTCAAGTAAAGCATCACTTTCACAACTCAAGAATTCAATAAATGGACAAGGCTTAAACATTCTTTGTGTGTTTGCCTGGCTTTATGTTGTCCATAATGTGTAAAAATTGTGTGCCTTTCGGCGAGTTAGAATTTAGGTAAGTCCAGCACTCTACCTAGAGAATTTCCACAAAACGCAAAATTTAACTATGTATTATTGTGTTTACTGAATATAGCTCCTTCATCAGCAGTGAGTAATGATGATTCAACAACACAAGATTCTAACTGCAGTGATGATACAAATACAAGCTACAATGATGAAGGTATTTATTTCAAGACACTCTTGCTACAAGTACAATAATAACCAACAATTCTACTGCTCTATCTTATTTCCAATCAACTCCTTGTAATCTTCAGAAACTTCTACAGCTACACAAACTCATGCTGGAAGTGTATTCATGCCCAGGAGAACATTATTTTTATTGCATCTTGGAGACTATTATACAAAATATTTGATGGCCTGAATTTTTGACTCCCGTGTGCGAAGCACAAAAAGGGAGTCTTTGCAGTTAGTGTGTCTGTGTGTGTGTCTGTCTGTCTGTCTGTCTGTCTGTCTGTCTGTCTGTGTGTCTGTTCCATCAATATCTCAAGAACCAATGTTCGGATTTCAATGAAACTTGGTATATAGCTTGTCTGGGGCAATGCGCAGATTTGATTAGTTTTTGGTTGACATCCATGCATATTAATGAGCTCATCTGCATAATAATGTGTGAATTTTACACTATTTCTGTTATATCTCAAGAAGCATTAAAACGATTTTCATGTAACTTGGTAAGAATGTTACTAATGATTGGCAGCTGCAATTCATTGTTGTATTTTACATTTTAATTAAAATTTAGCATTTTTTATGTATTTTTGTATTATTTTTTTTTAAAATTATTCTGCCCAATTGCATGAATACAACTAATAGGAATCGGTGAGTGGACTAATTTGCATAATGATGCGCATGCGTATTCTATTTTTTATGACCAGCAATTTATGATGGTGTCAGCCATTTTGTTATTTCCAGTGTGTTGTACAAAAACAAAGCAAGCGCTCGGGAGAGGAAATGTATCAGTTTTACATTATGAAAAGGTCTAAGA